ACAAGAGAGGGGAAAAAAAGGGAACAATCTCACTATTGTTGTCAAAATAAGCACTTGCATTTTGTCTGAAGACATTATCATAAGCACAGATGGAGAGGAGGTAGTTTCTGCTAAAAAAGCATTTTGCRTATTTGCAGTGAAAGTAACCAATCTCAGCATTTTCATATCCTACTCCCGTGATTTCAAACAGAATGCAAACACAAAAACAAATGCAATAAAGAAAACAGCAAAAGAACGGACACATATATACTTTTATAGAGCACTGGAATAACATGGGGATAGCTTTCCATAAATTAAAAAAATATATATTTTTATTTTGAGTCTTGATGATAAAAGATAAAAGTATATGTCAAAGAGCTGTACTGAGGTACTAAAGAGAGTTATGACTTCATACTTTGATGACAATGTATTTTTTCATGTATGAAAAGTTGGACACGAATTGCGGAAAGAGGGATGAATGAATTTATCTAACAGTGCTACATGTACATTTTTAATAATACTTTTAGCTTCTTATTTAAGCACTCGGTGTTTTATTTTTTTTCTTTTTAATCAACTGTATCAAGCTTAATCAGTCTTTCAAATTTCACAGTGGAATAGCAGGTCAACTACTTCAAAAATCAATGCTACTCACAATGGGCTGTCCTGGAGTTGGTGGCTTGTCTTCTCCATCACTCCCTGAAGAAATGTCATCTGCCCCTCCAAACAGATCCATAACATCTGCATGTTCTTGAGCAAAAAAAAATATATATTTTTAGATATGCATGCATACACACACAGATATACACAGAGAAGAAAGATTAACACATCCTTTGCTTTTATTACTTAACACATCCTTTGCTTTTATTACCACTTAAAATAACCTACAAAGATTACAAATTGAAAATGCTTATGAAGCAAAGATTATTCTCCTATCCCACCAAAAAAGAAAATCCCTTGTATTTTTAAGCTGAAGATGTAAGTTATGTTTGTCCTGAAAACATTTTATTAAATGCTGTTGAAAAACAGCAACAGAATAATCACGACTAAGAGCCAACTTTTTATGCAATAAAAGAATATAAATATCTGTAAACAGCCACTTTGTTATACACCTTACTCTAAGAAGTAAAATTTATTTCTCAGACAGTTAAATCCCACAGAAATCACTGTATATTCTAACAGGCTCCTCTGACTACATACATTGCCTTCTTCAGAAAGAAAGGAATGAACCAACACAAAGCAAACCATAAGGCAGGTAAGGCTAACCACAAATAACCACCAAAAAGACCCTGCACACTTCCCCACATGGAATTTCTGCTGAAGCTTTCTGTGCTTTCTCTGACACTATACTGATAACATTTAGCAAAGCATATTGATTGTATCAACTCTGTGGCACGTGAATGAAGCAAGTTTAAGACAGTGGTTTGAAAACAAATGAAACAAAACCCCACAAAAGCCACATAACCACCCTAGTTACCTTTATGTCCTTCTGTATCACTGTCTGCTTCTGAATCCGATGCAATCGGTTTCTTTCGTTTCATTCGCAAAACTTCATCCTCACTATCACTGCCCCTTGCAGACTCTRCTAGAGAGCATAATTATTCTCAGCAAAGTAATAATTTTGTTACTCATATTTTAGAATTCCATTGTATTAATAGTTGATGCAGATGATAAGGAACTTTAAAAACCTGTATCAAAAACCTTTACAAACATGACAGTAGTTTAAAGCTAAATGAGCAATGCCTTTACATTTAAGTCTGAGTCTTTTCAAGGCAATATAAATGAAACAACAGGGATGAAGCTGAAGGAAAACAAAAGAAGGCAAACTATTACCACAGTAYTCTGTCCTACCAGATTTATGCTCTTGTTCCTCCTCATCAGAGTGCTGGGCCCTTTCGTCATCATCAGAGTTCTGCATCTTCTCCTCATCAGAATGCTGGGCCCTTTCGTCATCATCGGAGTTCTGCATTTTCTCCTCATCCGAGACCTGAGGCCTCTCCTCATCGTCGGAGTTCTGCATTTTCTCCTCGTCGGAGTTCTGGAGTCTTTCCTCATCATCGGACATCTGTGGCCTTTCGTCTTCATCAGAGTTCTGCACTTTCTCCTCGTCGTCAGAGTTCTGCTGCCTCTCCTCATCGTCGGAGTTCTGCTGCCTCTCCTCATCGTCTGACTGGTCGCTCTTGTCCTCTTTGCCCCACTTTTCATCTTCCGAATGTGCTTTCTCAGAACCATCTCCCTCTGAATGATGGCTGCCCTCATCTGATCCGTGCCCTCTGTCATCATCGTCGTCGTCGTGAGCCGCTTCCGAAACACTGTGCTGATCCGCATCGGACTGATCGTTATCTTCGTGCTCAGAATGGCCTGAAGCTTCAGAGCGGTTGTAGGATCTCTCGGAGCGGTTGTCACTGCCCGAATGATGCGACGCTCCCTCATCCTCACTGTCGTCGCCAAAGAGCTCCTTATTGCTCGGCTTTACCGCCTCCCGGTCGTCATCCTGGTCGCTCTCGCTCCCAGAAGCGTTGCTCCCCGAGCCAGCATTCTCCTGATCGGAATCGGATTCGGAGCCAGAATCAGAATCTGCAAAACAAATGTCAGCCTTTCGGAAATTAAAATGTCCCTACGAGAAGAAAAATACAGAAATATCAAACAAATAAACGACAGAGGACCATGCGAAAGGCCCATAAAGGTTACCTGGAACAACACACCACCAGTGACACACACGAGGGCACGGGCAACGACAGGGGCAGTGAGAAGGGGCAGAGAGCACGAAACGTTTCAGACCACAACGTGCCACGCAGGGCTGTGAGCTCCTACAAAGGACACGCGGTTACACGGAAGGCAATGAAGCTGGGCACGGCAAGCGCACGGGTAACGGGGTGTTCACGGCGCTGTGCGGGTTTAGAACTGCCCTGGCTCCGGGGCGCCGCTGCAGGCGGGAAACAAAAACCCTGCCTGGGACGGCAGCCTACGGGCACCGCGCCTCGGGCTCTGAAATTCGGGAAATTACTTAAATTGTATRTTTAAATAAATAAAAAGAGCGCCCCCGGGGCGCGCGCCATCGCTTCGCTTCGGGAGCGGGCGGCAGTTTGGACCCGTCCGGACACAGGCGCAGGCGGGAACGCGCCCCGCCCGCTCGCTCCSGGTTCCCGCGGTGGCGGGAGCGCCAGCAGAAGGGCCCCGCTGCCCGCGCTCGGCTCCGCCGGCGCCGCGCGCACCTTTCTGCTCGGCCTCCGAGTCCGCGTCGCTGCCGAACAGATCCTCCATGTCGGCCATGGCCGCGCGCGCCCGGCCGCGGCGCCCGGCACTGACGTGCGCGCGGAGCGCCGCGCACGCGCGCCACGGGCAGGCGGCCGTTAAAGGCGCCGCGGGAGGCGGCTCTTAAAGGCGCCGCGCGCGAGCTGCGGGCGCCGGGCCCGGCCGTTGGTGCCGGGCCGGGCCGCGAGCAGGAGCGCGGGCCGCAGGGCTCGCCCCGGGCCGCAGGGCTCGCCCCGCCACCCTCACACCACCTCCCTCTGCCCCCATCCTAGCGCCCCTCGAGGCCACCTCCGCAGGGCCCTGCCTCGTGCCCGGGTGACACACGAACCGTGGGGACACGAGCATGGTGTTCCATTTGTGAGAGAACGGGGCTAACCGGGACCCCCGCTGCTCCATGGAAGAATCGTTTGTCCCTCTTCGGCTGTGTGTTTTCAATGTGGTTGAAAACAACTCCATACTTAGAGAAGAAGGCACAAATATTAGAGACTTGCTTTGAAAGAAAAGTGAGCTGTTGTAATAAAATAGTGCATTTTAGCGCAGGGAGAGCGACGAAGCGGAGTGGACATGTAGTAGGAAGCCCTGGGGAGCGGCCGAGGCCACGGGCGCTGCGGGCACAGAGCAGCCCAGCAGYCCCCAGGAGCCTGGGCCCAGCTGCCCCTTCCCAGCCCAGGCCCAGCTCCGGGGTTCCTAAGGGAAGCGCCAGGCTGGGACTGCCCTTGGTGCAGAGGGGCTGCTGGAGGGAGCAGCCCGGAGGTGATTCCTTCAACGACCCTATTCACAAGCGTCTTGGCCATATAACAAAAAGAGCAAAAACAGGAGCTTTCTTACTACCTAAAGCTGTGCAAAACAACCYAAAAGTCTCTCCTCACCCTCCTCCCCCTCGTTTACTTGCTTTATGTTTTGAATAATATTGACAATATGCCCTCCTTTATGCATTCTTTTGCCAGATCATCTGTGAAAATGAAATTCCAGGTGAATCTSTGGTAACCCACTCTTCCACTGGGGGGAAAAAAAAAAGAAAAAAAAAGTTTGACAACTTTGTGCAAGGCTGTGTTACCATTTAAAAAAAAAACCCASAACACAGAACTTCAACCATTGAAAGTTTTTACTGTTTTGCAGTCTGACAGCATATAGCGCCAAGATGCTAAAACACTCAATTGTTATTTCCTCAATGGAAATTTAAATTGAACATTTATTTCGTTTGTAGCTTACAAACAGTATTAAGCTGTAGAGAGAATGAGGTTATTTCTTTAAATCACATCAGTGAATAGATGATTGTTTTGGAATATAGTTTCTTTTCATGCTTAAAAAGTGGAACTCAACCTAATTAATAACATGTTGTCATTTGACTCTTGCCTTAAGCTTGCATAATAATCTAAAAGAAAGAAAAATACAAAGAACACAACCTTTTTTGGGAAAGGGACCTTGTGTTTATTGGAGATGGCTATTAAAAGTAATGCCACTTTTGTRCTCAAAAATGAAATCATGCACAAGATCTCACTACACTCAAAACCATTAAATCAAAATATCCACTTTGCCTGTTGAGACTGTTTATGAATCCTGGCTAAAACCAAATTCCTTCATTTATTCCAAAAAGGGATATATATCATCTGCACAAAAAAAAAAAAAAATCTAACTGTTCCATGCACCATACCAAATAATTCAGAGGGTCAGGCTCTTCTGACAGAAAAAAAAAAAGCCCATTTTCTGTCTGATTTCTATTCTGAAATTGCCAACAAACAATAAAATACTTAGCTGTTCTCTATACAGCCAAGGTAATTTAAAAGAGGTCCATTACAAGCATCTGTGACAGSAGACCTGAGAATAGCAACTTAGAAGCCTCTGGCTTTGATTGGAATATAGACCAGTAAGCAGATAAAGTTTATGTTAAAAAGTAAAATAAAGGTAGAGATTTTAGCTACCATTTCTAATCCAGACCTTATTTTTTCTCCTTGAGCTTCAAGTAGGGAATAACTGCACAAACTTGTTATCTAAGACAAAATAAATCATCATAGAAACACAGTATGTGAACAGATTTCAGGAACATGTAACCAACCCTTCAACAAACCAAGGAAGACATTACAGCCTGTTTTTTGACACAAAGTGATTAYGGTGCCTAGTAGATAAAGCATCAAGAACAGCATTAGAAAACTCTGCACATGGCATGTTTTGGCCGTATTTATACAGCACTATTTGTAAAAAACAAAACAAGGCGAAAAAACATCCACGTATTCCACGTAGCTTGCAAGTGAWACATGCTATAAGAACTTAAATTTCAAAATTGCATCAAAAAAAGAAGTCCTTGAAAATGTATATAAGATATAAAAGCAGTCCTTTTTATTGTTATTCATCATATCATTTCTAGTTGCTTCAAATGTATCGTACGCAAAACTGTTGTTTTTAACAGAATTAACTTTAGCTTGCTTTYGAGAGCCCATATTTATTTGGAATTAGTCAATAAAAGCCAATTCTGAAACAAGAAGAGAAACATCCTTCTAAAATTATAAATCAGTTATTTACATCTTCATTGAAGGTATAATTAAAAATTCTCTGTACATTTGCAATAAAATTGAGTGACCTCCAGAATGAAGTCTGTCTTTAAAGACCTAAAATGTGATTTGCAGTAAAATATAACATGGGCACAGTGAGAGAGAACTGCTCTATAGAATTTTCATAGTATAAACAATGCAAAAATYTCAGTCTTTGACATTTTCTATAGATACAATGCTCCGCTGAATGTTCAGTCAGTTGAATTCAGTTGTTGCAAGTATAGCTGAACAGTCCTTTAGAATKTTTCTGAATTTATGATATCACTAAAACATTCATCTAGTATAACATAATCCAAACATATATCCTAAAAAAGCCTCTAGATTTCATGTTATATCAAAAAAGTCCACTACAGTGTATAGAATTTGAAGAGATTCTTGTTGCCRTATTAGTTTGCTTAGAGAAGTTTAAATATTTTCATAAGTATTATGCAATATAGATTTGACACTGCGGATTGGTCATTTTCTGCATGTCCTATGTAGTGCTTCAACACAGAGACATGAAGCAAAATAGAGAGATCCTTTCTGAAAAGCATTACTTTACTGTTTTATGAAAAATGATTATATGAAAGATAATAGTTTAATGCAACAGGTTAAAAAAAGGTTTTTCCATGTGCTGTTTACTGTAGGTAAGTAAGGACACTAGTTTTACAGTTAAGGCTGCTTTTCCAATACATAATTATGAAGACTTTAACAAATACATACCCACTACTTCTAAAAAAAAAAAAAAGATACTATTTAAGTATTTAGATAAGGATTTTAAAACAAAGAATATAACATAAGCAATGATGATGGACATATGGACTCGGTCTGAAAACATGTCCATTTAGATAAAGAGCACGATAGTTTTATGAATTTAAAATGACTAATGATTCAGGGACAACAGAAATACTGTCATATTTGCAAGGCTCCTACTTTAATTTTTATTAGTCCCTCAAAAATCTCTTTGGATAAGAGCTCTTTAAGCCAATCTATATTTTGTTTGCTTTTAAAGGGGCGTCTTTTAAACTTAATCACAGTATCAAACATGAATCAAAAGAGTAGAATTACAAATAGAGTTGTGAAAGATTTCTCTTCAGTGCATATGAACAAGGCTGAGTAGATCTTATATGAGTCCAAATTGTTGCGTAAAGAATCCCTTATGACTGAAGTATTGTTCTTAAGAATATATACATCCCTCCACGTAAATAAGCACACCTAGATTTTCCAACAACATTTAAATTGGGTTATCTGCCCAGTGATCTTGAATGTCCCATTCTTTGACTACAGACAATAACTTCACTGACTTTTGTTTACATTTTTTAGTTGAAAGCACAGCAGAAGTCTTGAAATACAAAAAAAAGTCTTACGATTTTACATAATACATAAACACAAAAACTTATGTTTTTTTAAAAAAAAAACTATGTTACAAGAGACTTGTGCAGTTAATATGTCCTAATTTGAAAAAGAAGTGATGCATACCACACAGATTAATATAGCTTTGCTTTAAAAGGTATGGGGTTTCCAGTCTTTTCCCTTCTAACCCAGGTAAATGAAGTCCAAGATTGCCAAGGCCCACTGGGATCAAGTGCCTCTCACTGAAGTCTCAAGACTCTTGAAGTCTCAACACAGTTCTGGCTGCAACAAGATTTACTGGTTGTCTCCTTCAACCCTTCTCTTGCGAACTGTGGTAAGAAAGAAAGTAGATTTTACTATTATTTTTTAATCACTGGAAACACTTTAAGCATTTCTACAACATCAGTGGTTAAGGAAGCCATGCTACTTGTTCCCTACTTTGTGGTTTAATTTCACTTAGTACAATTATTAATACCTATTATTATCCACCATTCAAATTTATGCTTTAGCAATGCTTACTGTTATTCACAAAGATCTTCGTGTATGATGAGAGACTAACAGGAAACAATCATTTTACATTTGGTTAGCAGATTTAACAAGCTACATGATTTCATCCCGCCAGTTTCTAGTGGTGGAGAATTAATTTACATGACTTCAAAAGAAACAATACAAGAGTTTCACAGTATACCTTAAGATGACTTACACATTTAGCAAAAACAAAACCAGGAGGTTATGTTCAATAAAAGCACTGCATTTACTAATAAAAATCATTCAGTTGTCAGAAATTGCAAGAGCAACAAAAATTTGTGAATAAAAATTGCTAAAGCTCACATGCTGCTTAATTAAAAATATGAAATATTCACTGAATGACTGGAGTTTTGTTCAGGATTTGTAGTATTCTGGATTGATAATTTCTTTTTGCATAGCTAATTCCATGTTTGCTAGAGAAAGAGAGGAGAAGCGGTTTTGTTTCTCCCTGTTTGAAGAAATGCTCTAGTGCAAAGTATCATCCCAGTAGGATAAAAGGTTTTCAATTAATGGTTTAAGTCTCATATTTAAAACATTAGTGCTTAACCCTTTATAAAGCCAAAGTATTACTTATTTTGAGAGTAACCCATCAACTTTTAAATCTCATTTTTAACCCAAATGTTTTTTATTTCAGTGACCCAAGTTATTCATTCCCACTTTCAGCAAATTTCAAGAATATACGGACATGATTCAACTTTAAACTTCTCCAATCATGCAGTTAAAACAGTTTCAGACCAAGAAGGACAGGGAAGTAATACAAGACTGGGTGAGTCAAGTAGAGAAAGGTAAAGAAAAGAAAAAAGCAGCACAACGTACAGAGATGTGAGATTTTAAACATCTCAGTTTTCAATGCTCAATACCCAACTGGGTATTCAGAGTAACCTGTCTCTGTAGCTTCAGGGCTGGAGAGATGAAAAGGCATTTGCAGAATTTTTTACTTGCATGCTCCAGACTAAGAAATCAAGGAAAAAAGGAAAGATATCAGTAGAAACATAGATTTCCAATAGTCAAATGCTAAAATGAGAGCTTGCAAAAAGAGAAAATTTATGACAGAAGACACGTGAAACACTAACATTAAAACAAAAAATCTGAAACCTATTTTGAGAAGCAGTTACGTAGTGTCTGTGCACCTTCCTTCTCCCTCAGTGATCTGTCTTAGCTATTACTCTCCCCATTTTTTCTGAGCTGACCCTTTCCATCTGGAACTTTACTCAGAGGAAAGCAGATCTTCCTCTGTCTTYCTCTGTCACTCCCTCTATTCTATTCCAGAACTACCAAAAAATTCACTGGACCAAAAAAATGTGAAAACCTTACAATATTATAGAGCATCTAAACCCAGTAAATTTAATAAAGGAGAATTTTAAAAGCAATTCTATTTAAATAGATTGACTGTAATACCTGGTTATACAGTCAAAAGCTTTACACATCTTGCGTTATTATATAAATGAATTCTGTTCACATGTGATATTAACCAATTTTCTGCTGTCCTATTTAGTTAGGATTCTAACAGATAAGCCCCAATACAAGTTTTATTGCAGCCAGTTAAGATGCCACTGCTACCAGGTACCTTTAATACAGAGACAGGGAAAATAACTACATTAACAGAACCAGAAGAGAACAGATGACGCAGTGCCAACCACTGCAGGTGACAGATAATTCAGTCTCTACATTTCAGATTAGAGTGGATATATGGGCAGGGAGGAGAGTATCTTGCACTAATGATTTCTAGTGTACTGCTTTCAAAGGGACAATGACTTTTATCTGAATCAAAAAGGAATCATCAGAACTACGTCCTTCTTGTCTCGGCTTACCTGTTATTCAAACGTTCTTCCTTGTTGTGGACTATGCCAAGCATGTCCAAAGCTCATATACCTGAACCCCCCATAAAAAAGGGCAGCACAGCAGCAAACGTAAGAATAGGAGTGAAGCACAGAAGAAGCCTGAAACATCCTGTCAGAAATAGCTAACTAAACCACCTGTAGAGCCTGTRCTACATTCACTTAATAGTCATGGGCCTTACCCAAATCATTATTTTTTGTGATAGCAGCAGCTGCCCTGGCTCGAGGTCCCTGCTGTGTGAACTGGTATCCAAATTTAAGAATCTTAGTGTTTTCTTCAAGCATCTTGGCAATTTCCACTTCTGCAATTGTTCCCAGCTGCTGCCTCTATTACAAAAAACAATGGAAGACATAAGAAATTAGGTTTATTCACTCAAAAAAAAAATCAGATTACTTTCATCCTATTTGTCATCAATATTATACTGGAAAGCATAAGCTCATAAAATTGTAACACTTTCTTGTCCATTTTAAAGCACCAGCAATTACAAAAGTGACCAGCCACCAAGTGACCAAATTAATCTGCATGAGGTTATGGCATTTAAAAGTAAAATATTTTGGAAAGTTCATCGCAGACTACCATCTAAAATTATGCAGTCAGTTAGGGCAGGGAGAGCATAAAACCTCATTTTAATTATCATATTACCCCTATCTCACCTACCTGGTTATCAATTTTGATCTCTGTTAACGTTTCATTGTCCCTCAATGCATCGACCAGTGCCAAAATCCCAACTCCAGTGATGAAATTTGATTCTATGTTCAAACTTTTTAATTTTGTGTTCACCTTCAACATATCTGCAAGAGCCTTGAAATACAAGAAAATATCATTAAAACTTTGAATAGTGCTACATTACACCAAGTCATGGAACAGTGGTAATTATTTTCACTAGCTAAAGCAGTAGCAGCAGCATGTAGAGTTGATCTATGCATTTACAATTAAGCATGGACTTATTATTTGAGACTGAAGTGAGTGTTCAACTAGGCTTTATCTATTTCCCCCCATTTAGAAGTACAAGGTCAGGAAAAGGCCTTTCTTGCTCTTGTTACAAGCTAACAGCATACACAGAATATAAATTGTCTTTAATTAGCATATTGGACCAATTCCATTTTGTAAGCCTCCGGAGCATACAATGAATAAAGCAAGCTGCTAAGTAGTAAAAGGACAAAAAAGGGTGGTTAGTTAACTGAAAAGAGAATTGGATATGGTTAATTTGTAAACAGTAGATTTGACTTTCAGAATGCTTCTGATCTGCTGATATGACTGAGTAATAAAATTCAAAACCTTAAAAGTGATATTGATATGTACTTAAAAAATACTTTAATAGAAGTGGCAAATACCTGATCTTATTTCTCAGAAAATTAAAGCAGGTAATGCCTGATGCTTACAGTCATAACCTTTAGTTTTATTATAACAACATTTAAACTTTTTTGTATGAATTTACAATATGGGGTGTGTGGGGAAAAGAGTGTGCACACAGACTCTATACAAAATGTTTCAGCTCAACTGAAAAAGAATGTTTTAATTAACCCAAAACATAGCTTTCAAAATTTCATTTAACTGAATGTTTCAAACTTCCTTTCTTTCCCATTTAAAACAAAAACAAAGGATTATCCTAGAAGAACATTTAATGATGTTTTCTTACCCTTAAAGAAAGGGAGTACAGCTTATAATTCAACAGACAAAAAAAATAGAATCAGACAATAAATATTTACTTTTCAATTGTGTCTAGATATCCTTCACTAATACCATGCTTAAAATGCCATGGACTTTGGGCCAATACTTGGTAGCCACAAGATGACAGAAATACATTTTTTACAACTAAGCTATAGCTAGTTGAAAAAAATGTTTTGAGTTTTTCACTTCTCAAGTATGATTCTTATTTGAGTTTTGAATATACTACTGACTCATGGAATGAGTGTTGATAAACCATTAGGAATGAAATGAAAAAAGAATAGGGAGGAGGAGGTTACCAAAATGACTTTAGCAAAAAATCAGGAGGAAGATTTAAAAAAAAAAAAAAAAAAAAAAAAAAAAAAAATTCTCATTCATCTCACAGATCTTGCTGCATACTTGTGAACTAGTACTTAACAACTTTGAAACAACAAATATTTGCAAAAAAAACCCAGAAAACATACTTTATGATCTAGCTGAAATTAATCATTTTCATCCCCAGCTATTTAAAAAGAACTCAATTCAAGCCCCTACTAGTTTCTTTCCTGACTTCTTATGCTCCCCATTCAAACACATAAGCAAAGAAACTTAGCTCACTTACAACAGCAACAGGATCATTACTTCGGGTGGCTGCAAGGCTGAAAGTCTTCACGTGTGTGTTGGTTTCTAAGGCTTTTGCAAACTCTTTCAGGGTTGGAATTGGAATGTTCTTGAATGAAAAACAGCATTTTATATATTTATTATGTTCTTTTCTGTCCCCTTCAGCATATCCCATTATTTTATTCTTTTTACAGCTATCAGACTGTTTTACAGAATTTCATAATTTAAAACATTTTCCACTTTGCAGTTTGCTTATTCTAGATGCAAGATAATTACCTTAATATTATTTAGATTAACTTCAACAAGGCGGGGATCATTATCTTTAATTCTTTGCAATGTCTCTTCCACATTCGTGGGATTTGGTGGTTCATCAAAAACAGGCAACATTTTTTCACCTTTTACTATATCTGCAGAGTAAGGCATATTATTGAAATCAGAAAGGTCACATGAATTTGCATAGCAAGTAATACACACAGTAAATATTAAATGTACCTCAAGATCATTTGATTAGTTTTTACATTTCTCCCCTACTCAAAATATACCATCTTCTCCTGATCGTATTTTCATTAAGTTCAGTTCTTTTCCAAAGGCTTCATTCTGTTTTCTCATGCACCAGTTCTTTCCAGAAAGCACATGAAGCCTTAAAACCAAGACGCACAAATAGGCTTGCACCCACTTTTACTAAAAAGTAAATTAACTGCAGAATAGATTTTACTATAGCTAAATGTATTTTACTTCCACCCTCACCATAATTCAACTAGTAATATTATAGACACGCTTATTTCAAATTCAGAACCAAATACTATCAGTAATGCTAGTGCAATAGAAAATACCTAATGCTATAGCAACAACTATGTGCAGTACAAAACTTATTTATATACTTGTATACTTACTTGAGAAAGTGTCTTTGTCAATCCCATTACTGCTTCCTACTACATCACAGAACTGACTGTTTGTTATCAAGTTGGACATTCCCAGTATGGCTGAAAAGAAAAAGAAGGAAAAGACACAATTTTACTCTTTGTGGCCAATTCAGTTGAGAAGCAGAGATTCTTTAAGAACTAATAATAAATGAGTGTAAAACCCCCGATCATCAGTAAAATAATCCATTTAGTCTCTTAACAACTTAGAGAAAAGTAGAAATAAGTTTTATTAAATAAAGAGTTTTTAGTTGCCTTTCACCTGGAACGGCTGCCAATCTCACCAGGTTCAGGCTTCGTAATTAAAAGTGCAGATAAGTCATGATATCACGGTGCACAAATCCTTGATTCCTCTTCAGGAATCGAGTTCRAAGCACACAGCAACACATTCTTGCAGGTAAGGAAAAGCAATAGGAAAAACACAATAAACGCCTCTGCCTGAAGGGTGAATTTAAGACATTTAGCTAACACAAGTGTACAGCAATGGGTTGTACAAGGATGAATCTACAAGTGACTTGCCACATAACACGATACAGTTTCTACCACAATTACAACCTCATATAGTCAGGTTTTAGATAACAAATATACTATAACATTACTTATAAGATCATTCCTGTCTGAATATGCAGCCCCCCAGTCGTGCTTTGCAAAGCTAACCTGCAAGGTCGCATAACTCCGTGTCTGTGGCGCTCGTCAAGGCTTCCTCCAATTCTGGATCAAGAGATATTTTTTCTTCATTGAAAGACTGTACAGGCTTCTGTTTTGGAATATATATTTTCCCTGGARCAAAGAAAATGAAAAGCCTGTTCTTATTTTATATAACTATCTTTAAGCTTTTCTGTACTTACAGAGTATATAATACATTTAATAAATCATGAGCTACAGAAACAACAAAGCAATGAGGTTTCTTCTGTTTGTACTTGAAAGTCAAAGGTGATAAAAGGGCATATAGAGGAATCTGACATTCCTTACAAGTTTCAATGGTAATTCAGTATCCCAACTGCCATGCTCCTAAGAACATTCAGCCAACAAACAAATGAACTCGCCCAGCTCATTCCAATTACCCCATGACAATACCCACCATGGACCAGAATCAGACTAGCTGGTCAGAAGCCAGAAACCCAAGATATTTTCCTCCTGTGTATACAGATGTATCTTGTTACAATGTTTGGACTAAGACTAAGTTTAGCATTCTTAAATACCTCCTAGTGACATGAAACTTTATATGCATGTTTCAGTTTTAATTCTGGGAAATTCAGAGCAATCAAGATTTTAGTTTCAACATTTCTTGAAACCAGAGTCTTAATACACACACAATAGATAAAAAGACAAACAAAAACCCATCCACCTTTTCTCTCTCTCCCTGCAAATCTCTGCCTTAGATTACAATAGTTTGTGGATCATTTTCATTTTAAAAGAAACTATGTATTACTGCTAGCACAGATTAGATAGAAGCCTATCATTTTTTTCAGCTTAACACCACAGTATGATGACAAAGATTTGTTGCTAGCAACACAGTATTTTTGCTYTGGAGTTGCTATCACTTTGGAAAGTTGCATAAATGGTCATTACCCATATTTAGCATCAGAAAATAAATCTCCTTATTCAGCTGCTCTGACTTGCAAACAATAGCTGAAACCTGCTGAAATGCATTACCACAGATACCACCACTTTGATGGGCAGTGCAAAATTAACTGTGGTGATTCAGGACTAAAGACTACTAAAGAATGAAAAGACTACTTTGATATATTTGATACCGTGCTGTAGTTGTATTTATTATATATATTAACCTCTGGGGCACCCAGAGACAGACAATCTAATGCCTTTCAATGCCTGTATTTCCATTGTTTTTCCATCAGTAACACAACAACCACACAAAGCAAGGATTTCAGACTACGAGGAGGGAAAAGAGAAGGAAATACTGAGGTTTGAGCCTTTTTTTTTTTTATTATATTGCGCCTACACTGATGCTGCAGATCAGTTGCAGATTCACACATTTGGTTTCTATATTGACTTCTGTGAACTACACTATTTCTCTCCAGAAATCYACAAAACCCTGAGTACATTAAGAACTTAAAGCGAATCCTAGTCATGCACTTCTAGGATCAGTCTCAAAAGTTTTAAGCGGAAAAAGAACATGAAAGCTCTGAGATCTCAGATCTTTGTCTGAGATCAGTATACAGTTTCCAACAGAATTTTATTTATTGTCAAGATTTCTTATCTATGTTGAGTATAAGGAGGTAAGGATTTATCCTGTGCAAGAGCACAAAATAATGGGTCTACTGCCTCATGTGCCTTTCCCTACACGGGCCTTTGTGCAGCAGGTAGGAAGTGGGTAAAGCAACTGATCTCTATTAAAAGCTTTTTATTAAACAACATATTTATTTTATAGCAGATTAACTTCAGCTTGGACTTGTCACCAGTCTGATTCACTGCATAGCCCCTACAAATAACTTTTGCTGCTGTCAACTTCATCCATTTTTAAATCGACAGGTTAGAAATCTCGGTTTCTACAAGTTTGCTTCTGAAAAAGAGTAAGACTAAATTTAGTCATACTTGCTTGCATCTTAAAATAACTTAATAAAAATAAAGAAGCACGAGAAAGAAACTGTACAACAATTTTTTTCATCCCAACAAATGTAAACAGCAGCCAGCACACTTGAGGTTGTAGACTTCAAGCCAGCACTTCAGCTTTTCCTAAAACAAAAATGTTAAAAGCTGTTCCCCTCAAGCAGTGTTAATTAGAACCAACTCCAGGCACGTCAACTGGGTCAGAAGCAGTTTGTTATAAAACAGGTAACACCCATGTTTATATAATCTCTCATTTACTAATTTCATCTCACCCTAGCCCAGAGTTCAGAGATTTACAGCTCGTACACAAAGGCAGCCTGTCCCTCCCTCTCTCCATATGCAGGTAATGAACAATACCTCAAAAAGAACAAGACCTCTGGGTGTCAGGAGACAAGGATCTAAACATAGGGCCTGTTTCCAAGACAGATCTGGGATCCACCCACTCCCCACCTCTTCACTATCGCAAGTTGGGTTTTTTGCTCTGCTTCTTTTTTCTCTTGTTTTGTTTTTCTTTAAGAATACACACACCCATCTGCACATTCCATATGACAGACAGCTTTCCTGGCCCTAAGTGGAACATTTCTAAATATCAGTGATACGATCACATGAAAAAACACAGGCTATTCTGGTTATTTTTAGGCCAAGTAGTATACTCCAAATTTCCAAGAATACAATATAAAGAGGCAAATTTCAGAGATGTTCACATCGTAGTTTCTGTGATAATTATATATTCTTACATTTTATGCCTAGAGCTACTATATTAAATGGTGCCCTTGGGGTTAATTCTAAAACAGGCTTTCCTTGCAATAGGATGAACCAGCTCCTGAATCACACACTACTGTATTGCTCATAAGCCAAAAATGCTGGATCACATCTATTGAACAGTACTAGATGTTACATATGGAATGATATTATCCAAGGTGGGACCRAAAGTCTTGCAAGAGTCAGATTCATTTAGCATGCTGTTCATACTATTCTTACTCCCAAGCACGATCCAGTGCTCACTGCAGCCGGTGGCTGGGCAGCAGATCAGAAAACAGCCTAAAATCAATTCTGCTCTGTTCTATTTGGGGGAAAAGAACCTTGTGTCACCTGAGGACATTCAAACACAATCTCCCCTCAACTGTGACTCCATGAATAAGAACAAAGAGCATATTCCATATAATCTTTCCTATGCTCAGCAAAGAGACTTCATCAATCCAAAACACAAAAGACACAGTTCAATCACTAATTCTTGCTATGAGACAGACCAAAGTATATGAACTCACTTATGAGTATAAATTAATACTAAGCTTTAAAATTCATCTGAGAGGCAACTTATGCAGTGTGACACTGCAGAGCCCAGCCTGGGTTTTGTTACCTGTTTACAGAACACGCAGAAAACTGTTTCACATTAGGGCTAGTAGAACATGTTGGTTCCAAGGTTCTTGTATGGAGAATGTCAGTTCGACAAGTTGTTTCTTCAAAGCTCCTACAAGATCTTAACTTCATTTCAGAGCACATAATGTACACTCTCCTTTAAAGACCAGTGATCATGTGAAAGGTAACTAGAGAATACAGTATCCCAAGTCCTGCTGCAACAAACAGGAATGCAGATCAACATCTGACAATGTCAAACCCCAAAAGCACTAGACAGGTGACTACAATTTTAGCCTCATAATGTCTTTTGCCTGAATTGTCAGGAAAAAAATCTGAAAGAACAAAGTTTAAGCAATAAAGCTGAAAAAGCTAGATGAAAATCAAGTCTTACAAGCTATTTTAGTAAGAATGCAGATGGAGAGTCTGGAAGAAAACGGCACGATTAGAAGAGTGCAAAACGCTGAAACACAAGTTTGGCTTACATAATATTTTTGCTAATTTCTTGTGCTGTGGAGTACCAAGTACATTATAAAGGTTAGATGTGCTTTTGTCCCACATTAAGTGGGTAACTCTCACATGTTGCTGTTCAAAGAGATACAAGGAGCCCATGTAATTTGCTCAGATGTACAGAATCTATCTCAGGGCAACAGAACCCAGAGCTTAAGTCTAGCTTTACCACTTAGATAAAAGATTCTTCTCTTTGCAAGTATCTTGCAAAATTCTTATTACATGTTTATGCAAAGAGATCGAGACAAAACTAGTTTTGTTGGAGATGTCATACTTTAAATTGCATTTCAGGAGAAAGTTTCTATCCTGAATGTCGTGGCCTGAATTACACGGCAGGCAACAATGGTTTACTGTATAGTTCACCATTTAATTGGAACAGAATGTGACTTAAGGCCTTACATTTTATTTCAAAGTACATTTTTTTTTTCTTTTATACACAGCATTCTTTCAGAAGCTACATCAGGCACTGGAAAACGCAATATAATAATTTAGGAGGTTTAAGCTTCAAAATTTTGTTGTTGTTCAAAAAAATCAATTTTGTTTAGCACTGTTCACCTCCTTGCACCAGGATGCTTTACAGGATTTCAGATCTTCCATGTTTCACAACACACAGCAACAACAATGCCAAGGACGTATATGTCATCTATCGGTGACTCAACATTGTCTTAGTTACACATCCTACTCCAAAATTAGAGAGAATCTTCACTTACACTGAAGCAGAGAAACAGGATTAACATAATCTGCAGTAAGTAAGGATGTTTAAATTACCCACACTAAGCTTCTTGGATAAACCTAAAGGTCGAATCAACGCTTTGGGATATAGTTTTGCTAAAATAGGAAAGATAAAAGAGGAGGGGAAAGGAAAAAGAAAAAAAAAATTCCCACTTCTCTCTGTGAAATGAACAATTAGACTACACTAGATGAGCTAGACATACATAAGAAAACACTTCTCACCAAGTCACTGGGAAGACTAAAACGCCAAAGATTTCAGAACACCAATCCTCTGCAATGTCCCTACCAGTCAATTTTTCCAAGCTTTTTATACCACAAGCCTTTGACAGATTTCAAAGTTTCTTGCAATGCTAACTACACAAGTCTTAACTAATAATAATGATGCAATCTTGTTAGAACTTTTCAGCAAGGATACCAAAAAGACAACCTGACTGTAGACCATTTACCTGGCCTTCCTGACTTACAGTATCTTTGATTATTTAGTATCTACCAGGAGAGTTTCAATTACACGTAGTATTACAAATGCTACTGTTCATCAGTACAGGCCACAGCATAAACCACAGACACAACAGCATTTGATACAAATCAGAGGTAGCTCTTACATCACGGAGCCGGTCCCTATCAGACCTTTCAAATCTTAGATAAAACTTGTTTCCTTCCCCCAGTACGTGCAAACGCAGCAACGCCCACACCACAACACACAAACAGGAAGCGTCCTGCCTCTGCACAGGCACAACCATTGGGAAATGCGACCAGCTAAAAAGCATTAAAGCTGCCACTCCTTCAACAAACTTCAGCTCARAGGAGTTCCAGCCGGTCCACTTCAGAAATTTCATAACCACCGACACAGATAAGGGCGTTCTCACCTTTCTTTTCTCTTGTAAAAGGCACATAATCTTCCCTGTCCTTGTGCTCAAGAGCCTGTTTCTCCAAATAGGCCAGGAGTCGCTCCCTGTCAAAGGGGCCTGAGGCCTTTTTAGCAGTCTGGTCCTTCTGTCGGAAGCCCGCRGGCAGAAGTGCATTCTGCAAAACAAAATCGAGCAGAAAATCCAAAAATTTTAAACTTTAAAAACTTGAAAAAGTTTTAATGAACACCACTTCAGCTTAATTTCCTTCCCCACACAAACACACTTCCTTCTGCTCTGCCTGAGGTTTGAGCTCAACAGATCAAACTCCCTAGGCAAGCTTGAATTCTTTGCCAACTTTCTTTTTTGGGGGATTATCTATTCTCCAGATAACAGCAATTTAATTAGAGCACTCACGGTAGAGCTGAAGCAATTCTTAAGTACAACAGCTCTCAGCACTACATTTGCTACTCACTTGGCATTTCTTTTCCAGAATGAACTGTTTATATGGGAAGAAGTAAATAAAACTCACCTGTTTAYAGTTTAGACATACAGTAAGTTGGCTGCTCTATCTTCCACTAATATCTATACATTTCCATGTCTTAAGAAAACTGCCTATTCTACTCACATTCAGCTAGCAACTCAGAGAGGTATTTCTGCTTTGAGGCTTACTCAATTTCTTTTTTTCCTATAATCATCCTGTTTCAGTTGCGTGCAGGGAAGGGATGAGGAAGAAAAAAASAGAGGAAAAAGAAAAAAAAAGGAAGACATGTATATTGTACTGAAAAAGAGAACATGAGTAATGCCAGACTACCATAAAAAAATACGAATTGCTTTTACCAAAGTTATAAAGCCAAAACCAATCAACATAAGGAATAGCTTGCCTTGCAACAAAATAGGTGACCACAAAATTTGAAAACTAAGCTCAACCTTCACCAGGTCCTATTAGATCCAAACCAGAGATTCAGAAGGTAAAATACTATTAATGAACTGAGAATTTAGCTGTAATATCAGTGGAGGATATAACTCAGCTCTTCATAACCAAAAGTTAAAACATTAATTATGCAATACCCTATGTTGACATAATTGTTTAGGAAGAGAGTATTTGTCTCCTCTGTGCAAAATCAGGAAGAGGACAGCAGATGKAGGCTATGAGATACAGAACCAGGAATCTAGAAGAATTTAATACCCCTTCTCTCAAATTGCAACAGTAGAAGCAACAAAATAAGAAAAGGACACAAAAGTTGTTTACCAAACATTGGCAACAGGAAAGTTAAAACTTTTCTAAATAAACTTCAAGAATGTCACTAACAACAATTTTTCTTTTATAARTAACTCCCAGAGAGCTGCTTCTGACAGTCCCCCTTTGCTATTTTCCTCTACTGTGGTTGCATTCATGTTGCAAAAGGAAATAACCACTTGAGATCTCATATACACACTTTTTTTGAGTAATATTTTGGGGGATTAGCAGAGAGCTCTGTACAACAGTATATGGACTACAAACTGAATTCAAGCAAAAAAACAAAAGTCTCACATTTAGAAAACAGTCCAATGCAGTTTAACGGGAGACAGAACTTCTTTTGGCTAATACCTACCTCAGGGTCAAGATCATCCAAAACAGTTTCCAGTTGCTTCAATTCTTCAGCTGAAAGTTTGTCGAGAATTTCATCCTCGTCAAGATCTTTGTATTTGTCCAAGTCCTTTCGAAACGGGAGCGTCATGGCTTGGGCAGCTGTAGATTACTCCAAGTCTCCTAAAGCCCAGTCCTACTCTTAATTAGACCTACAGAAAGAGATTTTAGAAGAAATAGGCACAGTTAAGGTAGACAYCATGTCTTCAGCTTCTAAATACACCGCAGAAAGGAAAGCTTATTTATCCATTAYTCAAATCTATTTATTGTTCTACAATAGAAAGAGTATTAGAAAACTCTCCATACCTTGCCTCTTTCTTCACTGGCAAAAACCCTGTTGTGCTGACATCAATACTTTTTTTTGTTGTTGTTTTTCCCTCTTTCAGTTAAGCTACATATGTTTTTATAGATTATGCCAATGCCTAGGTTCTTTAATGATTAACTCTAAGGTRTTCCCAAAGAGCAAGGTTGACTGGGGAGAAACCACCAGAAAAAAAAAAAAAAGATATATTTAATATTTTTGAGCCATCTTGTTGTCACTGGTTTTTATAGGATGGAAGTCAAGCAAACAGTAAAGATCCTTTGTATTTATTGTTGCTGCTGCTGCTATTTAAGATCAACTTTACCAAGTGACTAAGAAAGATACACCAAAGAACTATATTACAAACATGTGAACTAGGTAATAAGCAAGGACATGAGTCAGTAATAACTACAGAGGAAACAAAGGATGTTTGCCTCCCAAGTTAATTATATCACTACAATGGAAGTAACATTTTGTTCTGTCAGACGATAATTGAAATACCTTGGGAAATACACTTACTTCCTAAGCAACAGCAGTGCACACAGCCTTACCCTAATCCTCTCTCTTTCYCACCTGACAGACAGAGGGCAAAAATGAAGACTTTTGCTTTCAGTTCAACACGTAAGAAAAAGCTAACCGGGATGATTCTCCACAAATAAGGAAGAGTGTCCATGAGGTGCTTCCAGAGCAAAACCTAGATCCACACTTGCAGCCTAAGATAGGCACACAGCAGAAGTTATTTGTTCAATGGAATACAATGCTCCAGTTGAGGCTACTATACCAGAAGTTAGGCTCTACTTCACCTGCATCTCAAAACAGATCAACCTGAAGTTATTGCCTCTTAAAAAGAAAAGGAAAAGGAAGGCTATACAGACATGCCATGTGATATCACAGGATCCAGCTTACAGGACTTCATCTTCGTTGTTTACAGCCAATAAGGTCTTACGAAAAACTATTAATAATATAAAATAATATATTAATAATATAAAAAAAGACTTTATTTGAAAACCATAGCTGACATTGATAGGACATAATACCAAATGTAAACCACTTAGCTTAAATTAAGGTCTCTCAAATTAAAAAAAAAAAAAAARACCCTCAAATTTATCTTAAATTATATCAAGAGAATGGTGCCTGGCTTTCCCTGGGTTAAAGCCAGTCATGCCGAAAGAGCTTTGACCTTTAATGAGAGGCCACAGAGAAAAAGGTCAGAAAAATAATTTACTAAATATAGAATWAAAAAAATACAGATTAGCATATCTATGTTTTTCAAAACAATGTTCCAAAAGTAAACAAGGAGTTACCACACCACGTGCTACAGTTTTCATAATTTTTGCAGTATTTCTGTTTCTGGAAGTACAGAATAGCTGAAGAACATCTAGATTGTAGCTGCAGTGGATGCCACACAAACCTTCCTTACCACTTAAGCCATTACATGTTATCACCCAAGAAGAACATTTCCTGCAGCCAGTTACACAGCATTGCTGGTGACCAAGCTGCACAGCCTGAATCCTAAATTAACATACTCTTATTTTCCACATTTCTGCATGTCCTTTTACATTCAAATACTAAAAGCTACAGTTCTAAATGGTAATTATAAGGAACAGAATAGTTAACATACTGGAGGATAATGCTCCCCTTACTTGGATGAGGAGTTTCTACCACGTGCCTGCATAACCATACCTTGCATGCACGTAGGCTATACTTCCTCTCTGTTACAGTTGAGAAATGCAGCCACTTGCAAATAACTCTCTCTTGTTACTTTTACACTGGAAAAACTATTCCTCTTCTATAATGCTTTAATGTTCACGTCCTAGTCCTTGGTCTCACTTGTACCTTATCATAGGATCAAAGCATCCATTTCAAATGCTCTTGCAGACGACTTGACRACACTATTATTTGCATATCATATCAGAATATGAGTTTTGAAGGGTTAAAAATACTAAAGTCAAATAAAACTTACATTTCTAAAGCAGGAGGAAGGCCAATACAAGACTCTGAAAATGAAATTTCAATAAAAAATYACAAARTTCAGAGCAGATCTAGAGTCCAGTCACTATATGCTTAGCTGTAAGAGCTGTCTTAATAAGTGCAGACTAGAACACTCATGAAGRAAAAAAAAAGGGGGGGAAATAAATAAGCATAGCAAAAACACCACTACTTTTGGATTCAATCTTCTCCTTAGCCATAGGACAGAATCATACCAGGCAAAAAAAATTAGAAAAAGGCCAAAGAATGAGTTAAGAACAYAATTTCTAACACCTATCATTCAGAACTGAACTATTTTTAAAATACAATAGCATACTTAACAGGAGACATATTTTAAAAGTTATGACAAAAGCAGATAACACTGCTTAGTACATCTGTATTAAACAGGAAATGCTTGGTGATGACTTTCARATCATTCTCTACCAAAAAACAATGATATAAAACATGCACATGTAACATTCTAAAAATCATTTTTAGATTCTTAGGAAGAGTACCAAGAATTTTCATTGTCTGAATAGGGCATAATACCCAACTGAAGCTATAGTTTCAAACAGAACCCTTTGTTTCCTATTAAATACATTAATATGATACTGTCTGAACTGCATATTCATTTGCTTTCCATCAGTCACTAAGGGTAGTATGAAGAAAATATTACAGGCACAGTTTAATTAACTACAAAATCTTGGAATGAACAGTAAAGTTACTTAAATTTAAAAATATTTGTGGCACATCTTGGTGCAAAATAATAGACAAAACCTAGTAATTTCAGCTTTATAAATGCTTTACCCTTTTTTGTGAGCAGAGCTAGTTTTCTTCTAAGCATATTTCTCAGCTTTACYATTAAACCATTATATGTCAAAAGACAAAAAGGCTAATATTTTTTCTTTAGATATGTAACTGAAATGTAAAGCAAGTTCTTTATTCTCGTTACACGGCACTTGCATAAGGAACATACAGGAATAATGGAAACAAAGCCATCACTTCTGATTAATCGAATTTCCAGCGCTCCTGTTTATTAAGCAGAAGTTAGAAGCAATTAGTAACAAAGACATCCTGATGGACAGGACAAAGAGAAAAGCTTTGTCACTACTCCTGCACCTGAGAAAGCAAGGAACTGAAGAATTTAAGAAAGTAATAGCTTTATTTGATGCCATTTCATAATTACTTGAATAATCCCTGAGGAACTCTTTAGCAAATTTCACACACATTTTTGTCCTCTCCTGTCCACCTTAAAAGTGAACGTTTAAAAACAGACAGTTTCTGGTTTTATTTCAAAGACTCAGCCCTCAGAAATTTGACTATTATCTTTAAAGACACAATTTCTTGTGACCCTAGCAGGAAAAACTTTGGGGAAATATCCACAGGAAACTACGACGTTGTTAAAAGCCCACCGTAAATGGTATCAGTAACTTGGATTTTAAAATAAAGTGACATCATAAGAAAACAAGGCTGATTTTGGCCAACATGTCCACAGAGTTCACTTGAATCTCGTTTGTAACCTAGAGCCTTCTTTGAGTCAGCCTCTTGATGAACCTTAGCTGGCAAGGGGGTCCCTGTGCAGAGCACAGCAGCAGCATTCCTGCATCCATCAAAGCCCTGAAACGCTTCCAGATGCTTAATGGAGCCTAATCTAAGCTCTTCCCCAGGGAAGCCCTACAATGCCAACAGTTTTAACTTTCACTGGGCAAGCTCATACATAACTGTTTATGAACACTGTATTTACATTGGAAAGAGGTATCTTTCCTTACTGAAAGCAGAGGAAATATTACTGGAAAGACATGTGGACACTAATATTACAGTAATTCCAGCAAGTTCCTTATGATGATATTGTAAGATTTTTACAAATCCTCTGCTGAACAGTTCAGCAGTGGGTTTTTTTTGTTGTTGTTGTTGTTGTTGTTTTTAAATCAGAAAGTTCTTAAGAACCAACCTGACCCTTCCGAATTCCCAGCTGGAGGCAGGGCACAAACCCCGTTTCTCGTGACTTCACACCAGAGGTCTGAGACCGGCTATAACCAGCAGATGGCATCTCATCTTCGCCTGCACTTGCGCTCAGAGTACAAGAGAAATGGCTATTCTGGGCTATTTTCCTACACAAACAATCTCGAGGCTTCGTTCTGTTCTAAAAAATAATGCAATAAGTTTTCTACATGGTAAAGTTAGTTTTGTCCAATAAAAAAATATTTCTGTATGTCTATTCTTGAAAAAACAATCACCCTGCTACAAAACTGTACAAGTAAGGCCACTTTYTGGCAAGCAACAGAGGTGACAGATTCAAAGGCTCAAGAAGCCGAAGCGCTCGCTCGGTTACCCTCGGGTGGAAGCGACCCCTCAACACCTGGTGAAAAGGGCTCGCACGTCAGCACAGCCCTCTCGGAGACGCTTCCTGACTCGCTCATCAAACTCGCTKCAGGGCAGCTCTAATGATCACAAATAAACACAGGGATTGGACTGGAGACACGAAGATAAGCACCTCAGAAACCAAGGAGGCTTCAGACACTTGTTCTTAACAGCTAAAACCCCATTTAACACAGTTACTGACTGCCCCAAGGAGACAGCAGCTCCTCCAGGTATCCCTTCCCACTCACACACAAAGCAACACAATTGGATCAGATGATAACAAATGTCCAGAATAAGGATTAAAAATTAATGAACTGGTTACAACTTTTCCAGACAATGCCTATTTTTTCGCTAACAGACATGGGCTGCCTATAGAAACAGATCCACAGTATCCGCTCCTCGAGGAACCGCCCAGAGGTGCTTTGGTTAATAAGCAATCCCAGATATGGGCTATCGGAACAGTCACACAGCTGCATTCATGAGAAAAGTGGTAACACATATAAGCTTAGAAAGTCACTTTATTCAGCTTATGCTGCTTGTTTCTTCTTGCTTTTTACCCAGAACATCTGAAGCTGGGTGGCTGCAGTCATTTAAGCATTCTAAATCTGTATTTAATACTTTTAACACGGGCAAGAGAGGGCAAAAGGGTAAACTTCGACTTACGATCTTTCAACATGTGCATTCCTACGTTAAGCATCAGAACACGCTGGGCACRTCGCAGCAAACGTAAAGCATTTAGTGACTTCTCTAGAGCAGCACTTGCCCTCCGCACACGGTCTGCGCCCACGCACGCGGCAGGGGCAGCTCGGCCCTCGCTCCCGGCCTCGGGAAGGTGCCTGCCGGATCCCGAGGAGCAGGAATACGGAGCGGGGCCCGGGCCGCCCCGGCGCACACCGACCTCTCCTCCAGCAGGCCCATTTCCTGCCCCGGCGCCCGCTCACCACGGACGGCCCCACTGCCGGAGGGTTTTTATGCCAGCGCCACAGGGACTGTATACCCTTTTGTCAACCGTGCAGCACGGGCAACACGTTCCGCGGCGGYTGCCGTTGACGCAGGGGGTTCACGAGCGGCGCAGGGCGGGCTGAAGGGACCGCGCCAAGCAGCTGCACCAAGTTCCCRGAGTCGCAGCTTGCAGACTTCACGGCGAGCTCTGGTGCCGGCCCCGAGCTGCGAACGGCCTGTCCGAACACGCACTGACCTGCGCGCGGGTTCCCGCGTGCCGCCGCCCTATCCGCCTGGCCCGGGGCCGCCCCGACCCTCCCGCCGCGCGGGCCGCGAGTCCCGCCCGCGGCTCCGCCGGCAGCAGCCGCGCCCAGCAGCGCCCCGGGGCTCCGGGCGCGGAGCGCAGGGAGGGCGGCGAGCGGCCCTGCTCCACGCGGCCCTTCCCCTTCCCATTCCCCTTCCCATTCCCCGCCGCCCCCCGCACTCACCGGCGCCAGCAGCGCCCGAGCCTCCCCGCCGCCCCGCAGCCTCCTCGGGCGGCCCGCCCCGCCCTGCCCCGCCGTGCGCATGCGCGGCGCCGCTCCCGCCGCGCGGCGCCTCACGGGCGCTGTAGTGCGGCGCGCGGGCGCCATTCCGCGCGGGGCCGGGTTGACGCCCGGCCGCACAGCGGCCTTCATTTTAGCGAGCGCGTTTCAGTGGTGACTGCGAGGCGGCCCTCGCTGTAAACAGTCCAGTTCCCACCTTTACTGCAAGGCATTTGCAGCATGGAAATAGTGCATTTGGCAGGTGGTAAAACCCCCACGATACCCATGTCCTAGAGAAACAGCACGCCCAGGCTTACCTGGTGGGCAGACAGGCACACCAAGTTTCTCCAAGGTTTTGGGTTTCATTTTTTGGTTATTTTTCAAAGAGTCATAAATTATCGTCAGATTCAGGAAAAGAAAGTGTGTTTGAAACCTTGACCTGCTTGTGTCAATGTGAGCTCTGCCACCTGCTTCAGTAATGCCAGGATTTCATTTCAGACCCTTTAGCTTCATAAAATATATACAGTGTAAGGTAACATATGCAATCCGTCCTTCTTAACATGGAGCTTATTTAAAACACTTCAACTGCTAATAATATTTTAAGCAATACATTAGTAAAAGATATTTTGCAAAAGCGTGGCTGCACTGAGGTCATTAACAAGGCTATTATTAACTTTAAAAGAGCCTTATTTCATCTGTTAAATTMTATTAAAATGAAAGCTGTGCGGACTTGAAACCGAGCACCCCAGTGCATCAGGCTGCGGCATCTGTGGTGCTTTGTTTGTGAGGACAGAGCCACGGGGCCGGCCGCGCTCGGGGTGACCTAACCGGGTTCTATGAGCCCTGTGAGACTCGCACTTGTTCAGCGCCCAAGGCCGGAGAGCCTCAAAGCAGAGCCGAGCCGTTCTGGCACACGGCCCGCGGGTGAATGAAGAGACACTTTTATAGCTGCAAGAGCACTTCTGCAAGCGCTTAGCAGTGGATTCATAATCCTTCAGTCATTAGGGTGCTGGCATTTTCCAAGCTGACAGTCCAGTGCGTGTATCAGAGGGCAAACATAATGTTCTCAAAAGGATTAGTTGAAGGATTTCTTATTCAAAGACTGAGATATAATTTAAGACTATTAAACATAATTGAGAGAAGTGTAGGCAAGTACAAAACCTCCAGGGACACCAAAGTCCTGGACAACAGTTGAACTTCCATTGGCTCTGAGAGGATTCACGTGAAACCTGAGAGCGGATGCAGTTCAGATGGTCTTCTCTGCCATCCCTGAGTGGAACATGGCAAGAAGAGGAACACGCAAGGACTTAAGACATTATCATAAACTGATTAAATCATAATATGTTTACTTACTACATTGCTGATGCGGTGCAAATGGAGTCCATGCCTGAGATATCATCCTGGACAGAGAGTCAGAACAGCATTAAGGCAGGAAGAAAACACTGTCAGTACATTATTTAATAACAGCGCAGCTATGAGCAGCTCTGCGAGCAGGATGTGGACATGGCAAGCAGCTGGGGTATCCTTGCAGGGCCAACATAAGTCTCTGTATGTCCTTGGGCAGCTCCTTTCAACTTGCGTCTTCTGCAGTCCCAAAGCAGGAGATTCTCGTTCCCATCTCTGATCACGTGCCCACCATGTGAGCACCTGGTTTGAAGTCATGGTCYTGGTCTCACTTTGGTCACCTGCAAAATGGAAACAATGATACAGTTTGAGATTTACTTATACAATTATAAATTTACTGTTGAGACAGTCCAAGAAAATCCTATAATCTGCCAAACCAAGGCAATCCAGAAAACCAAAGCGAAGTGTAGTTGCAGTCCTGCAGTCCGACCACTTGACAAGATGTTGGCCAGCACRTGAAGACCTGAACCAGCTAGTACTTACAAAGCACGGCTGATTACATAAATTGATTCTGTTAAAATACCACTTCAGGAACTGTAACTGCAACTCACCAATTACACGTGAACAAGAGTCAAATTTTATCTTTAGCTTCAGTCTGAGATTACTGAGAGATTCAAATACAGGTTATATAATCTGAATAACAGCTGGTCTTTAAAGGAAGAGATCAAAACATGCACAACAGTAATCAAGACCAGATGTTTGTCTGAAAGATGTACTCTAGCTCAAGCAGGAATTAATTAAGCAAAGTCTTACAATCTACGTTATAAGGAAATCAGCTRAAAAGATCACAACAGTCTTTCTGCTTCATTTTATTTTATATATATATAAAAAAACATAACACATTTTGGCTACAAATGGTTCAGTGAAATAAAACTTGCTTTTGGATGCCCCAGGTAAAGATTTACAGTGATGCAACCTTCAGGCAGGTTTAGGTAGAGCTGAAAAAAAGCCAAATCTCTACATTCAACAGGCAGCAGCACAGAAACAAACTCTAGTTTGGGTCAAAGAGATGAAGAAAAGAAATGTTTTCCTTAGGAACCTGCAGGACTATGACCTCTTGAAGGTGTCCTCCATCACGAAGCAAATCCTTTCCTAGAATTGTTATCCCCATGCATTTTGTATCCTGATAATGTTAACTTTGCCACTGTGCATCTTTCAATAATTCATCTTGGATAAATAGATAAATGACCTGAATGGACAAAACGTGATGCTAAAAATTATACTAGGCAAAGGACTATTGCATTATTTGTGGAGCTTTACCCACACCACAGTGCGTTTCAGGTGTACTTTCAAGATATTAGTCTGTGAAGTCCCATACATTGGAAATAAGGTCTCAGTCATGATAGTCACAGTCATATTTATTTGCAAATATATCCTGTGCCTGGGATATAACACCTCTTAGATTTGTGAAATGCATTGTGTAATTTGGGTTTTTTGTTTGTTTGTTTTCTAAGTATGAATATATTAGAATATACACTCTGTACACAAAGTAATTGAAACGTGGCAAGCTTTACTTTGTATGCTGTGATTTTGAGCAAAATGTTACCCTTACAAATGTAAGTGTACTGCTGTGTACATCTGCATTTAATATATTTGCTATGTATATTTTYGTCTGTATGTCATTAATACAGTTGACCTGTATCTCTTCTTAGTCAAAGATTGTTCATGCTTCTAATTTTTTGATTGCAAAACTGTGTATGAGGTAAAAGGAAGAAAGAAACAATAAGAAATCACAGCCAAATGAGAGAAGAACATTGTCTCCAGCCAAGTCCTATATTCYCCATAGAGGCCTTAGATTTTACATTTCTAACAGAAATTAATATAAGTGAATTTGCCAGCAGATATAAAGTGAATGAAAAAGTCAGTATGGGAGGTTCTCCCCACCCATATCAACTGAGAAGTAGTTTCAAATTAAGAAAAAAGTTTTAGTCATGACAAGCAGAACTGAGGAAAAAGCTTGCAAAAGTTTATCAGAGAACAAACATCCCCAAGTTAACTTTGTTTCTTTGCTGATATTGTACATTTTCCTTTATCAGTATTTGAGTAAGAATGATATCATCCTAGATTTGGCATCAACCTTTCRTGCAAACCTTCAGTTATTTTCCAGTCATACATGTAAGCTCAATAGCTACATGAACATAACTCAGCCAACCTTCAGACCAAGATTAACCCCCAAAAGATCCCAATCCCTTTTAAAAGTCACACATTCCTGCATCTCTGGGACTGAATGAAGCCGTGCTTCCAATTTAGCACCAAATGCTTCCCATTCACCACCAAATGTGGCAGCGCAGCAGGTTTCAGAGGAACTCAGTGTGACTTTCCAGCTGGTCTGGTCCTGCGGAGAGACAAGCAAAACCATGGATGTAAACCAGGTTTAACTGAACTGTTAATACCCAGCAGCAGGGAAGAAGATGAAGGATGAATTGTTTTGTTGTTTTTGTATGTTTTGTGTTTTATTTTTTCCCACCATTTCTATAGGTCTGATAACATTTTGGATGTTTGTCAGAAGCTTTGCTAATGCCTGCTTTCCCAAGGAGCTGGAGGCACGGAGGCTCCGGGCAGATGCACTTCTGAACCATCCCTGAGCATTCCCTGYGTTTCTGTGAATGCAGGTGCTTTCCTGAGCGGCAGCAGCAAGATGTCAAACTCAACCCTTCAGTCCCTGACACTAATAGGAGTTTCCTGTCACAGGTGCATGAGGTCACTGGCAGGGTATGGAGCAAAGCTGAAGTCATCACATTTCCTGGTTCCATTTTTCCATAGGAAAATTGAGCTCTGGTGCAGCATCTGCTTCATAACAAAGCAGTGTCTTGTTTTCCTGCCAACACGTCATGAAACTTAAAGACATTTTAATCACTGGAATAGCTTTGCTGCTGCTAGTGACTCATCGCAAGCACCAAGGGCTGAAACACAGTGCCCGGCACAAGTTAACACTAACGCAGTGTGAATGTACAAATACGAGTTGTCAAAGCAAACTGAAAGGAGAGAAACATCGGAACGGTCTCTTCCTATACCCTGTTAAGATCCACATGCTCTTCCAAAGAGAAGTCACCCTCATGCTGCCCCTGTAACCTCAAGGCATGAGGACASAGCCAGCACTCTCCTCCGCAAGAGCCGGCACTGAGCAGTGCTAAAGGAGAGGGACACGTTGGGGATCACGTGCAGAAACAAACATGCTCTGTCCTTGGGGAGTGYGGCCCCAGAGGTGGCCCGAGCCCCCTCGTGATGATGGAGAACCAGTCAGGGAAGGCAGGAGGCCTGGGGCAGCACCAGGACCTTGGCTGCAGCGCTGGACGTGTCCCAGGGCCATGTGGGGCTGGGCACTGCAGGACCTGCCTGGCCGGTTGGGTGGCTGGGCCGAGTGCAGGGGCTGGCGAGCAGCTCACGGGCGCTTCCAGGGCAGTCACCACACGCCAGGCTCATGGGCATTGCTGTAGAGGCCGTGCATGGTGCCGGCATGGCACCTGCGCACCCCGCTGTGACACGCTGGCACAGGATGGGGTGACTRCTGCTGCCTGTGTGCCTTGCGAGCCCCCTGTCACCTGCTTTCATAGTGTCCATGCAGAGGAGATTCCCAGGAGAGGGGAAACATTGAGGCT